GTGGGGGGGGGGGGGTTCTATGGAAAAAATATAAAACTTACAAAACCATCTTGTTAAACTGAGTATAATTTTATTAACTGTCATGATTGTTTTATTGCTTTTATCTGTTTTATATGGGCTTTGCCCCTTGTAAGCCGCCCTGAGCCCGCTCTGCGGGGAGGGCGGGGTATAAATCTTAATAAATAAAATAAAATAAATAAAATATGGTGATAGGTGGGAGCTTTACCTGTTGAACTGCTGCCTGTCATAGAATCAGGTGTGCTCGGCTGCCTCTCACGCACAGGCTGCTATCGGAGCGCAAAAGTGACCACTCTGTGGACGTGGCCAAAGGCAAACTCTGGCTCGAAGCTGAAAGAAAACCACCGCGTCATTTCCCAGATCCTTCCTAATAACCTTCCTAATAACCTTCCTAATAACTTTTACAACAGCCCTGTCAGGCAGGCCACTCTAGTACAGACAGGGGGCTTAAGGTGACAAGAGGGCCTTTCTCTGGCCGTGGGATCTAAAATATTTTTAGATCTCCTTTTCTCCCAGACAACCCTGACCCGAGGGGAGCTACAAAATAAACCCCGGGGACTCCTACAATCTTATTTTAAAAGTTCGCCATTAGAACGCTTGTGGGATGGCTGTGGAGTCAAGGATTTCCTAAGTCTTTCCAGTATCCTCTAAACTGAAGAGGAGGCCCATGGAACATGCAGCAGGGGATCAGGACCCTAAATCTATCTGGCAGGCGAGGAACCTTCTCAGTCGAGGTACCAAAACTTTGGGATTTTCCCAGGGAGCTTTGGTCTGTCTCCCTCTCTCTTGACTGTTTGGAGGGCAAACTCTATGGCAGGGGTCCCCAACACTTTTCAGCCTGCGCACACCTTGGGAATTCTGACACAGCACGGGGAAGCAGTGAAATGGCTGCCACAAAAGGCGGAGCCAGGGCCGGCTCCAGCTTATTTTGCACCCTAGGCGAGGAACCCTTCTGCCCCCCCCCCCAGTGCACCCACCAATTAAAAAAAATAAATGCATTTTAGGAAGAATGAAAAACACAAATAATAAAGAAACTCCCAGAGTACGGGGCCGGGTGCAGTTTGGTGCCCCTAAGGGCCGCCCCGCTCTAGGCGATCGCCTAGTTCGCCTAGTGAGTGAGCCGGCCCTGGGCGGAGCCAGCCACAAAATGGCTACCACAGCTTACCTTCAGTCACCCAGGGAAGACCCTTGTGCTGTGATGGCAGAGGCTCCAATAGCAATGTGTTTTTTTAAAAATCTGCACAGCCAATCAAATCTCCAGGGGCCAATCAGAAGCCGTATTAGGCAAGAGTCCCACCCCACTTTCAATAAACACTTGGTGGGCACCGGGTTGGGGACCCCTGTTCTATGTTATATCATAGATTATTGGTAAAATCTCTCTCCACATTCTCCCCTCCCCAGGCAACCCCCCCCAAATCTCCAGGAATTTCCCGAGTCAGAGTTGGCAACACTAACATTAAGCCTACCCATACACTCTGGTCATTATTGGAAGTCCTGCTTTGGTTGCCTCCGCCATCTGAAGCTAGTCAGGTGGCATCCCGAGAAAGGGGCTTCTTGGTTGTGGCCTCAAAACTTTTAGACTCCCTTTGCAGGGAGATTCATCTGTCTTCCTCTATTGGTGTACAGAGCCAGTCTGGTGTAGTGGTTAAGTGTGTGGACTCTAATCTGGGAGAACCGGGTTTGATTCCCCACTCCTCCACTTGCACCTGCTGGATGACCTTGGGCAAGCCATAGTTCTGACCAGAGGTCATTTCTAGAAAAAGAGGTGCAGGAGCTCATTAGCATAACTCATTTGCATATGCCACACCCCCTGACATCACCGGAAGTGTGTCAGAAGGCAACGCCCACCACTCAGGCTCCACTGGACTGTTTTGGATTGCTAGCTATTGGGGGGGGGGGAATGTGCAGATCTGTCCTCCCGGAGGAGGGAGAGCTTGTACCTGAATAAAACTTGGTCTTAAAGGTGCCACTGGACTGTTTTGGGTCAGGGGGAGCTCTGCAACTTACCTGGCTGCTTCTTGCTCTGACTGAGGGCTGCTGGGGGCAGGGGGTGGGGATTGTTGCATGTGCCCGCCCCCTGGGCTCTTTACTGCTGGAGCTCTGCTCCTGTGTGCTCCTGCAGGAAATAACACCTGGTTCTGACAAGAGCTGTTCTTGAAAAGGAGCAGTTTCTGTCAAGAGCTCTCTCAGCCCCACCTACCTCACAGGGTGTCTGTTGTGGGGAGGGGAAGGGAAAGGAGTTTGTAAGCGGCTCTGAGACTCCTAGTGAAGGGCGGGGTATAAATCCAATCTCTTCTCTTCTTCTTTTTGGTGCCTTTTGCCAGCAGGTGAAGACTTTGGTTTCATCCGGCATACCCCCACTAACAGTTACTGGCTCTCCTTCTAGTGTTTATGTGTTTTCAATTGGAATATTTTATAATTTTAACCAAATTTTTAGTTGCTCATGTGGAGAAATGCCTTTTCTCCTGGGAGGTTGGCAACGAACAGGGCTCCACTGTGCGTCTTAACCTTTTTTTCCTCTGAGGTAAGAACGAGGAAGTTGACCCATGGCCTTCCCACAGAATCCCTTACGAAATGCTAATAGACCTAGCAGGAGAAGAAGAAGAGATTGGATTTATATCCCGCCCTCCACTTGGAGTCTCAGAGCAGTTTACAATCTCCTTTCCCTTCCCCTCCCCACAACAGACACCCTGTGAGGTAGGTGGTGCTGAGAGAGCTCTTTTGAGAACTGCCCTTGAGAAAGCAGCTCTGAGCAAACTTGTGACTGACCCAAGGTCACACCAGCAGCTGCATGTGGAGGAGAAAGGAATCAAACCCGGTCCTCCCAGATTAGAGTCCGCGCTCCTACCCACTACATCAAACTGGCTAGGATGGGCCAGTTCACCCCCCTTCTCCAAGCAGGGAATAGAGGTGGAGGTGTTAAATGCTAGACAGGTTACAGGAAGGGACTTCCTGAAGACAGCAGGAAAAGGTGCCTTGACCTGGGAGAGAAAACAGAGATGATAAAATCTTTGAGCAACGGGAGATAGCTTTTTTTTTCTCTGTGATGGCTCGTTCAGGAGAACTGTGAGCTGTGGCTTGAAAGCATGCGGCCTGGACATCTGAAGGTAGCCAGAAGCAGTGTTCCCTCTAAGCTGAGTTGGTGTGAACTAGCTCACAGTTTTTTAGCCTCTGGCTCACACATTTTTGTCCGAGCTCAGGAAGGAGGGCTCCAGAGCAAACTAATTTATGCAGCAGCCAAATCGCTCGCTCACAACTTTAATGCCAGTAGCTCACAAAGTAGAATTTTTGCGCACAAGACTCCACAGCTTAGAGGGAGCATTGGCCAGAAGGAAATGGTAACTCTGTAGAGAACTAAAGAGCCTGTCCTATGTTTTACCATCAGCTAGGGCACGTAAAGAGAAGGGACAGAGGATGTGCGTCTTCAGCAGTTTCTTTTGTCTTCCTTCTTCAAATCTGGTGCCACGCCAGAAGTGCACTTGGAAAGATTTTCTTTTTAATAAACACTTTAATCTTTTGCTGTTGAGAGTGGTTCTCTGTACCACATAGACCTCCACCGTTTCAGAGGCGCTATTTTAAAAGGGGCTTGGGGGGGTAGTTGGTAAGCGACTATCTCCTCCAAGGGCATCCAAGGCATTAAACTGTCCCTGTGATAGGGTTGCCAAGTCGAATCTTCTTACCGGCGGGGGAGCGTTGCCGGGCTCCGGGAGCTCTCCTCTGATGCGCGGAAGTGACGCGCGACGCCGATCGCGTTGGGGGCGTGGCCCAGATCGTCAGAGGGAAAACCATAGAGTTTTCCCAACGTGATCGACGTGGTTGCGTCACCTTTGGTGACGCAGCCACGCTGCGCTTCGGGGGGAGGAGTTCCCCCCGGGGCCCGATTCCACAACGGCGGAAATAGGGCCTCAAAAGCGGGGGTTTACCTGCCCCCCACCCCCACTTGGCAGCCCTACCCTGTGGCAACCAAGTGTTGGGGAAGCAGGAGACACAGAGGCAAGGCCTCAGAGTTTAGAAGGGGAGCCGGGGGTCGTGATCCTCCCAGTGAGGAATCCCTAAATTGATCAGGTGGTGGCGGCGGCGGGCTACTCGAGAGTAAAAGTAAAGCCCTGCCAGGGAGTTGGGAACCCCTAGGAGGGCAGGGTGGAAGAGGGCCTGTAGGCCCAAGCAGGCCTGTTTGCCACCTTGTGGACCCCGATTGGGCGGGCAGGTGGCATAAAAATGTTTTAAATAAATAACTGTCACGAGGCTGAAGAGAATTTGCCGCTCAGGCACAAAGCAGGGGAGGTAAAGAGACGGAAAGGTAAGCACCGGCTCCTCAGGAGAGCCAGTATGGTGTAGTGGTTAAGTGTGTGGACTCTAATCTGGGAGAACCGGGTTTGATTCCCCACTCCTCCACTTGCACCTGCTGATGTGACCTTGGGTCAGTCACAAGCTCTGGCACAGCTGTCCTGGAAAAAGAGCAGTTTGTGTCAGAGTTCTCTCAGCCCCACCCACCTCACAGGGTGTCTGTT